GGCGACCTAGTTGACTTCCATCTCGTTGCACTTGCTGTTGAAGGGTGGCGACCTAGTTGACTTCCATCTCGTTGCACTTGCTGTTGAAGGGTGGCAACCTAGTTGACTTCCATTTTGTGGGAGAGTTGTGCGGATCTTCGAGTGGTGACCATAGAAAAGTGAGTCTAGGAAACATTTTATCAGGGTCCACGGTGGGCGCCAAATGATCTTACCGGGATCTTGAATGTGGACTTGCAGACAAGTGGCAAGATCCTAATGGTGGTTTTTGGAGTTCTCGTCATCTCGAAAAGGCCTCCTTGCTATTGAGACGGGGGAGGAATATCCACTTGCAAAAGAGTTAGGATCATTGTAAATTTCTGTGTATCAATGTTTATCAAGTTGGTATTCCTTGAAGAATATTAGTTGTTTTTATAGAATTAACATGGGCCGTGAGCCTATATTCCTATGAGAATAATACTTACTTGAGAAGTATAATAAAAGTACAGTAACTAATAACATATTGATAAATAATAATCATCACACCAAACTACCGAGATTTAGTTAGAATATGTGAATATGATTCAAATAGGTGTAGGTTTGGGATGTTCCATAATGAAGAAGTCTAAAGGACCTTATTAAATTGTGCTCTTTAATATATTTACGGGACTGGATAAGAACAATATGTCATAAAATTTTGAATTAAAGATGTTACATCAAACATGACCAAACAAGTTTATTCAATTTAGGTTAATTATGAGATAACATGAACTATGTTCTTGATATGCATATACACAGGTTTGGGTACCCTTTTGTAGAAAACACAACATTGAACCTAGGAATCCCGATGCTTACTTCAATTTGAAGAAAGACCCCACCAAGAACAAGAAACGACACGATTTTGTGAAAGACCGTAGATGGATCAAGAGAGAGTATGATGAATTTAAGGTCAGAATCAATGGACTTCCTGAGGTAATACGTCAAAGAAGTAAAACACACAACTCTAAAGAGGAAAAAAAAGCAAAGCAGATAGCTAAGGAGAAAAATGGAGGAACTCTACCATCAGATTACACCAGTGATGTCCCTNTTGGCAGGAAGATCAGAACACTTTTGAAGAAGGAGTGAGCATGGCAGATTTCATGGACAAACCTTGGAAACCACTAACTAGGAAGATTAGAATCCCTGGGGCTATACTTAGCCCTTACAGGTATACAACGATCATATATATATATATATATATATATATGTTACCATTTTTCATCATACCAGCAGATTGTGTCTTCACATGTTTCTCATTCTTTAGGTTACCACTGGACCATGTTGTGCTGTTACGAGATTTGAGACATGCATAATGTTTCTTTTGTTCAAACAACTTTGCTTTCTTAGACCTTAATTTGTAAGAAACGTTGGAACCTTTTAGAGTCCTTACATTCATTTACATAACAGAGGAGCTAAATATAAGGTTAGTCTGGTTGTAAAAGTTGGAAGAGAGGATGGAAATGATTGTGAGTTCAATTTTCTCACTAACATTTGACAGATATAACATTTGAGAGATATAAGGTTGGTTTGAAAAGTTTGGAAGAGATTGTAGATTCAATTTTCCTATTAACAAAAATTAAGAACTAACATTAACTGAAAAAGAAAAAGCATTTTCATGAGGGCATAAAACTTTTGTAACAGTTTAACATTGTCAAAAATTGTTACTTGGTGTTATCAACAAGGATCAAAACTGAACTGCTATGCAGGTCTGGACATTAAGACCTATAATTTTCTTGTGCATGGAATAAAACATTAAAATAGAGGGAATTGAAAGAATTATATACTAATAATTTAACCTTTTTCATAATTATAATCTTATAGGAACTTGTGGGATGGAGACTTTTGATAATTTCCATTTTCTGAAATCCTATTCCAATTTAAATCAGCTTTTTCGAACTGTATGTGATATTAATTAAGTCTACTACTTCAAACTAGTTTTGTAAATGACACGGTATCAGCAATTGCTGCACTTTAGTTTCTGCAATTGCTGATGCTACTCAATTTTAGGATCTTAATTAGTTGCAGGAATGATTAGCATTGGAGTTCTTATAAAACTTTCTGCAACATGAATTCTTTTTTGTTCTGTGAACAGGTTGTTGGTGGTTATCCGTATAGTAATCCTAGTTATGTTCTTAACTTGGCGAGTTTCGAACCCTAACCATGAAGCTATGTGGTTGTGGGGAATATCAATTGTGTGTGAGCTTTGGTTTGCTTTCTCTTGGCTTCTTGATATCTTACCCAAAATGAACCCAATAAACAGAAGTGTAGACCTTGGTGCATTGCATGACAAGTTTGATCAACCAACTGCTTCCAACCCAACTGGTCGCTCAGACTTGCCAGGGGTTGATGTTTTTGTGTCCACTGCTGATGCTGAAAAGGAACCACCTCTTGTCACAGCCAACACCATTCTTTCCATTCTTGGTGTAAACTATCCAATTGAAAAAATAACATGCTATATTTCAGATGATGGTGGAGCCATACTCACATTTGAAGCCATGGCTGAAGCTGTCAAATTTGCTGAGGTCAGTTTACAATTTTTTTTTGCACTGTTTATTTACTCTCTTTTTTTTCAAAACAATTTTTCTTTTCTAACCATTTTTAGTAAAATGTATTTTCATTTTTAAAACTTGAACATCCAATTCCTCTCATTCAGGAAATGTCTAAAGTACGAAAAGATGCTGACTTGAAATAAACTTCCATCATTTAATTAAGGATGGATGTAAACTTTTCTACTTTATAATATAGTATATTTGCAGCTAGATTTTGCAAGGTCTAAGTTGGTATTTCAAAGATTTAAAATTTTGAAGCAGAAGATTTAGGATAAAAAATAAAGATAATTTAGGTGCTGAATTGATCTATTTGATATTAAGTTTCATGTGTGGTGTACCTTGCCGACCAAGAATAAGATGACTGATATGTAAGAAAAATGATAAAAAAAGTTAATTTTATTAAGAAGTAGATTTTAAGCCTAACTCAATCCTACAAAATCGTTTTTGTAAGATGAGACTTCCAATACACTCTTGATATCGAGGTATATACATCTCAAGTATGAGACTAAACATTAATGAAATGGTTCGATAATGGATGGAACAATATGCCCATAAATAAGAAATCTCGCTAGGATGGTCAACCTACCTTAGTTGATCCTCCTGCAAGTTGGTTTGTTGGTGGGTGCATAGGGCCTCAAGCTCAAATGTCATGTTGCCTGCATTGTTCATAATTCTGTTGTATGAGCATATGCACTTGTTGTTGAAGGGTGGCGACCTAGTTGACTTCCATCTCATTGCACTTGCTGTTGAAGGGTGACAACTTAGTTGACTTTCATTTCGTGGGAGAGTTGTGCGGATCTTCGAGTGGTGACCATAGGAAGGTGAGGCCTGGAAATGTTTTATCAGGGTTTATGGTGAACGCCAAATGATCTTACCAAGATCTTGAGCATGGACTTGCAAACAGGTAGCAAGATCCTAACCATGTTTTTAGAGCTCTCGTCATCTCGAAAATGCCTCTTTGCTATTGAGACGAGGGAGAGAGATCTACTTGCAAAAGACTCTCTAATGCTCAAGTCACTAAAAGAGTTAGTATCATTGTAAATTTTAAGTGTATCAGTGTTTATCAAGTTGGTATTCCTTGAAGAATAGTACTTACATAAGGAGATGAGTATTGTATAATAACAGTGTAGTAAATAATAACATATTGATAAATAATAACCATCACACTAAACTATCGAAATTTAGTTAGAATATGTGAATATGATCTAATTAGGTGTGGGTTTGGGATTTTCCACAATAAAGAAGTTTAAAAGACCTTATTAAACTGTGTTTTTTAATATGTTTATTGGACTGGATAAGAGCAATATGTCATAAAATTTTGAATAAAGGATGTTACATCAAACATGACCAAACAAGTTTTTATTCAATTTAGGTTAATTATGAGATAACATGAACTATGTTCTTGATATGCATATACACAGGTTTGGGTACCCTTTTGTAGAAAACACAACATTGAACCTAGGAATCCCGATGCTTACTTCAATTTGAAGAAAGACCCCACCAAGAACAAGAAACGACACGATTTTGTGAAAGACCGTAGATGGATCAAGAGAGAGTATGATGAATTTAAGGTCAGAATCAATGGACTTCCTGAGGTAATACGTCAAAGAAGTAAAACACACAACTCTAAAGAGGAAAAAAAAGCAAAGCAGATAGCTAAGGAGAAAAATGGAGGAACTCTACCATCAGATTACACCAGTGATGTCCCTCAAGCTACATGGATGGCCGATGGCACTCAATGGCCAGGCACTTGGTATAGCCCTACACCTGATCACTCTAAGGGTGACCATGCTGGAATCTTGCAGGTATGTAGTCCTTACTTTTTTCTGCTTCTGTGTTTGAATTCAATTCAAATTTGGTGAAATTTGGTTTTAATCATATTAAGTTTTCACTTGTTAGTTTTGATTCTCATAAATTTTAACAAGTATGAAATTAGCTATATGATGGCATGATATCATTGGCTTGTTATTTACCTTACTCATGCCAAAATAGTTAACAGTATTTTTCAAAAGAATTGAAAGAAAAATTGTCAAATAGATGGACCGAAGAAATCATAGTTCAAATATTTTTTTAAACTTCAGGATTGATTTATACACTTTAGGAAGTTTGATTTCAAGTTTCTATAGTTTCTTTCATGGTCCAGATTCAGTAACCAAAGCCAAAGCACATGTAAACATGATAGTAGGGTCAATTCTCTAGTAGAAAGAAACTACATAGATTCAGTACTACATTTGTAACCATAGAAACAAAAACAAAATTTGAGAAAGACTATAAGTAAAACGTAGTTAAACCTTCTTTCTTCTGTGTACTTTGTATTCATATTAACTTGATTACATGAAGTTGGTCATAGATAATTAATTCTGAATGTGCATGTTTATTATATACAGATAATGAGTAAGGTCCCAGATCATGATCCTGTAATGGGCATTGCAGATGAGACAAAGTTAGATTTCACAGGTGTAGACATCAGGATTCCAATGTTTGCATATGTCTCAAGAGAGAAGAGACCAGGGTATGATCATAACAAGAAAGCAGGAGCCATGAATGCTATGGTTCGAGCCTCAGCCATATTGTCTAACGGACCATTCATTCTCAACTTGGATTGTGACCACTACTTCTACAATTCCCTTGCTGTGAAGGAGGGAATGTGCTTCATGATGGACCGTGGTGGTGATCGCGTATGTTACATACAGTTTCCGCAAAGGTTTGAAGGGATTGATCCTTCTGATCGATATGCAAATCACAACACAGTCTTCTTTGATGGTAAAAACAACCCTGTCACATATATCTTGCTAGCCATTATTCATTTGAAGCAAACCATTAAGTTTAGATAGACTTTTCCATAACGAAATTCTCTAATATAGTTCTTTTAAAATTTGATTTTTAACTTCTGCATAAGTTAACTTATGCAGAAACTTGTTTCATTCTTTCTCTTTTTGAAGAAGTTATAGTTCTGACACGATCATAGTGATTTGTCACTTGCCATGATTTCCTTTCCTTTACTAGGATGGACTTGTATTTAACAATGTGTAATTCATCAGGAAATATGAGAGCACTGGATGGTCTCCAAGGTCCAATGTATGTAGGAACAGGTTGCATGTTTAGGAGGTATGCACTGTATGGATTTGAACCACCGAGATTCATTGAGCACACTGGTGTGTTTGGAAGAGTGAAAACCAAGGTGAACTTTAAAGCACCACATGCAAAAGCTGACGATGACACGCAACCCCTAACATCTGATTCAGAAATGGGTTATCCAGAAAAATTTGGAAGCTCAACAATGTTCACAGATTCCATAACTGTGGCTGAATACAACGGAAGGCCACTTGCTGATCACAAATCTGTGAAGAATGGAAGACCACCTGGGGCACTTCTCACACCACGTCCACCTTTGGATGCCCCCACCGTTGCTGAGGCTATTGCTGTCATCTCATGCTGGTAATTTCCTTCGCTATTACCTTTCTACTTACAAGTCTCATACAGCAATTTTCTCATAAAACAATCCATCCCAAACATGTTTGTGTATAAGTCAAATAACTTATTATCTTTTTCCTTTCATGATATCATGCACAATGCAGGTATGAGGACAAGACCGAATGGGGGGACAGGGTAGGTTGGATTTACGGGTCAGTAACTGAGGATGTGGTGACTGGTTACAGGATGCACAACCGTGGTTGGAGATCAATTTATTGCATTACAAAGAGAGATGCTTTTCGTGGCACTGCACCAATAAACTTAACTGACCGTCTGCATCAAGTGCTGAGATGGGCCACAGGTTCTGTGGAGATTTTCTTCTCAAGAAACAATGCCTTTTTCGCTAGCAGACGCCTCAAGTTCTTGCAGAGAATTTCGTACCTCAATGTTGGCATCTACCCATTCACCTCATTGTTTCTGGTGGTGTATTGCTTCATTCCTGCACTCTCCCTTTTCTCTGGACAGTTCATAGTGGAAGGCTTGAATGTGGCTTTCTTAACGTATCTGTTGCTCATCACCATTTGCCTCACTCTCATATCTCTCCTTGAAGTGAAGTGGTCAGGCATTGCCCTTGAGGAATGGTGGCGCAACGAGCAGTTTTGGGTCATTGGTGGCACCAGTGCTCACCTTGTTGCTGTCATACAAGGTTTGCTAAAGGTTGTGGCTGGCATAGAGATTTCCTTTACCTTAACGTCTAAGTCAGCAGGTGATGAAGAAGACGATGAATATGCCGATCTTTACATTGTCAAATGGACAAGCCTCTTCATCATGCCACTAACAATTATCATCATTAACATCATTGCTTTGGTGATGGGGTTCTTAAGGACTGTGTTCAGTGTGATTCCACAGTGGAATAAGCTCTTGGGAAGCATGTTCTTCAGCTTCTGGGTGCTGTCTCATATGTACCCTTTTGCTAAAGGGTTGATGGGAAAGAGAGGAAGGGTGCCCACAATTATTTATGTCTGGGCAGGAATTCTCTCCATTACCATTGCACTGCTTTGGATCACAGTTGACCCTCCAAGTGACACTGTTCAGACATAGAGATGATACCTATGAAGATGCATTTGGAAACCAGCATAAAGGTCTATCACAAACACTTTTGAAGGAACATCATGACAAAAATAAAGGATTGTGGAGCCTTTATCTTCAATTCTTGCTGATAAAAATGCAAAGGGAACATTGCTGACTCCTCCTATGAAAGTGATGAGAAATGTACAATATCCAAGTTCTTCTGAAATTGCTCATGGTCTGTACAGATAATTTTATGTTTATTTATAAATCTGTAAATTTTCATTATGAGAAAGTATATACAGAAATAAAGAATAGATGGCACCTTTCACTTCTACTTGTATAGGTAGAAGTGCACAAGGAGACATTACTATGTAGGTGGAAAATGTATAATAGAAAATGAAGTTCTTTTGCAGTTGCTTATGTCCTGTTCAAATATTT